CAGGCCCTTCTGCTGCGAGCGTCGAATCAATCTCTTTTAAAGTCCCACGTCCTCACCACCTACAAAACAAGCTCAACCGACAATTCGTTTGAAAAAACATCGAGCTGGTTTCCAAAATTCACAAATGAAGCGCACCGACCTGCGATGGGAAATGCGCGAATTCAACCCTGACACCACCGCCCGCCCGGAATCATGTCTCGCGCGTTGACGCTGGTCTCGCGCCGTGTGCAAACCGGACGGACTCCGCGCAGTTCTTGATGAATCACTACTTTGTTGCGCGCGCCACGCGCGCCTCGTGCTTCGCCCGCGGCGGAGGCGCGCGCGATGGCATAGACGCGCGCGCACATCGCGCCAATCTCGCCACGAGCCATGCGCGCACGAAGGCATCGATGCGCGTGCGAGTCCCAGCGCGGGCGCGAGGCTTTCGAGCGCGCGGAAGGCGCGACTACATTTTGCCCGACCAAACCGCGTGACAAGTTCGCCCCGTGGTCAACATCCCCCATGCACCATGCATTTACTATACGAACGGCGCTTCCGCATGTTTTGTTGCATATCTTCCAACAACATTTTGGCGCCACCACTTGGGATTGTGTCGCGACTTTGAGTCGCCTGCGGAGTTTGACGTCCGCCGCGTTTCTTGTTGTTTGTATTTTGTTGGTGGTGTAAATTTGCCGTCGCCAGTTTTTTGATCGTTGGCCTTTGTGTCGTCAGCTGGTGTTGCATGTATTTTGTCCTCTGTTCTGTTTTTTTCGTGTCATCACGGTCGGATTCAAAATTGTACTTGGGCTCTTCACCATGTGTGGGGTCCTTCGAGGCAGGATCCGTCTTCCATACCGTTCACGTTTCGCGCGTCCCCATCACCCCGTCTGGAAACGATGCCCAAGCGTTGAACATGGAAGTTCGATCCTCGATCCTAGCTCACCCCCGTGAGGGACCGCGCACAACCGCTTTGAGGGGGGCTCAACGCCAACAGCGCTTGCGACGCGTGACGGGCGCCGCGGCTTCATTCATAACAAACAGTTGAATGCGATACACAATTGTTGTCGCTCGTCGGTGTGTGATCCTATGGAAATGAAGGCGGTGCAAGTCTCCCCAAGGGTGGAATTGTAAAATCTGCTTGGACCTTGTTGGGAAAACTATCCTTTGAAGATTTGTTATTTCGAATTGTCCTGGGCGCTATGTTCAAATCCACGGGTCCCAAAGGACCGACAACTTCTGAGGTTTCTGGTACTGTCGCCTGTGCGGAACACAGGGTGCTGGGGAATTCGTTCATGTGGCCGAGCAGCGCGTACGACGGCTCAGTAAAGATGGTAAGGCCAACCTCAGGGCGATCGACCTTGGGAATCTGCCAAAAGGGATCGGGCGGTGGCCCGATGGAGCTGGATGATGCTGCAAAAGCTCGACATCACGAGCCTCGAGATGCTGCAGGCAGGCAGGCCAAGGCCCTCTGGGTTGGGATCTTTTTGGGGTCAGGGGACAATCGTCTCGCCTGAGGGCTCTCTCAAAGAGGCACAAGTGACCTTTGTTGCGCCCCAGGATGTAGTTCTAGGGGGAGGTGGAGACAGCAGGAAGGAGTCGCCCAGACAGGCGGCGACCCCTCCCGACCGGGCGAGAATCCCCAGGACAGAATCCCGGGGCTGATTTTTTCGAGACGCCAGGGTGCCTGGGCCTCCTCCAACGTCGACCCCTGAACCCCTGGACCTGTCCATGGTCCAGGGTTGCGCTTTGACCAGAACTTCCAGGCGAATCCAGCTGTGGCGACGAGAAGCCTGCTGGAAGTCCAGAGAGGGCGACAAACGTCAAGCGAACCTCAATTCGAAGTGGAAGTCAGAATTCCACGCTCGCGCGCAGCCGCCCCACGCTCCCACGCGCGCTCAATAATCTTCAGCGAGCTGCAAATTACCTGGCCAATATCTCTATTGCTCGGTGTGCTCAGGCGAAACGATGTCCCGCGGGAGCGCCACACATAAATGCTGATCTCTGTTGGGCTAGCGCCACACGCGTCCGCCATTGCTGCGGTGGGCACCGCCGCCGTCCGCTGGGGGCGCTCGTCGCCGCCATGGCCGCCGACGTGGCCGCCGCCGAGGCCCGCCGCCGTGGCCGCGGCCGCCGCCCGCCGGGCGCTGACAGATCGGCGGCAGGGCGCGGGGCGCGGGGCGCGGAGCCTTCGCGGCGGCGGACCGCCGCTGCTCCAGCGTCTCGGCGGCCCCCGCCGGCAGCGAGGCGGCCTCGGGCGGCGCGGGCGCAGCGAGCGTTTTGGCAGCCTGGCGGCGGGCCGCCCAAAGGAGGAGGAGGAGGAGGAGGAGGACGCGGAGGAGGAGGAGGAGGAATAAAAAAGAGGAGGACGAGGATGAGGAAGAGGAGGAGGAGGAGGACGAGGAGGAGCATTGTAAACCCAAGAGTCATCACGGATGTTGGAGTAAACCCTCCTTCCAAGTTCCTTCTCCATCGGCTCCTGCAAAGGTTCATTTCCATGGAGGGATATGCTTCGTTTTCAGGAGAACCGTTGGAAGACCCGGAGGCATGCCAAAACATTGCTATCCGAAATTCAACGCCACGGGTCATCCTGATTATTGCGTATTGGCGATCATAAATCGCGCCAGAACGCTATACTTGGGGCGTGAACGCCGAACATTAACGTAACCGTTGCACCCGCATAATCCGGACCGCCTCCAAAACACCATTTCTGGTAAGCGGACCATGGGAATAACTGAAACGGCTGCAAATGTATAAGCGAATGCGCGCGGCGCGAAGGCGAACGCCACAGTTTGAAAACGACCCACCCTCAATCCATGAAGCTCTTGCAACTGGTTAACACGAGTGCGCGAGGCGCTTAGGCGAGAGCCACAGGTTGGAAAAACAACCCTCCATCAGCGAAGCGAAATCAATTGTTTAAATCGAATGCGCGCGGCGCTGCGGTGATAACACCATTCTGAAAAAAAGGAGCCGCCCTCAATCCGTGAGGTTATTGCGATTTTCTGCGCGGAGTCGAAGCGAAAACCACATTTCGAAAACGATCCGCCCCGAACCCGTGAAACTCTTGAAACTGTGAGAATCAAACATGCGCGGTGCTGACGCGCGAACCACATGTTGAAAACCACCCGCCCTCCAGTTCCGTAGTTGTTGCCAACTTTTCAGCTTCAGAATCATGATTGGCGAGGAAACCTTAGGCGAAGCGCCCGGACAGCCCTAGAAAAAAATCGGCGTCGACACGGGGAAACTATGCATGAAGAAAAAGAATGGAGGAAAAGGAGGAGGAGGAGGAGGGCGATTCTCTCGCTCCGCCCTGGCGAACGGTCTCCGCGCGCGCGTGCCGACGCGCTCGCGCGCGGCGGCGGGGCAGACCTGCCGCCGCGCGCGAGGGCGCCGACGCGCCGCGCTCAGGAGGAGTTTGCCTGGCCACCCGACCGCGCAGCGCGTGCGCCTTCAGCCTCAGCGAGGCCGGGGGGGCGAGGAGGGGGGCCGAAACACTGCAGAGACCGCGCGGGGGAAGTCGCAGATAATACCAAGATAATTCTCTCGCTCCGCCCTGGCGAGCGGTCTCTTGGGCGCCCGAATTATCCGGGGCAGCTCGGGCCCGGGGCATCTCGGGTTCGGATTCCCGAAAAACGAACCCGAGTTAGCCCTGACCCGAATTACCCCTGATGACTCGGGGCTCTGAGTCTCCGCGCGCGCGCCGACGCGCTCAGGAGGAGCTCCCCCGGTCGCCCGAGGGGCGGCGCAGCCGTGCCCATACTCAAAGCCACTGCGAAGTGGCAGGATTTTGTCGGGCGGCCGCGAGCTGCATGGGCGCGTGGGCCAAGCAGAAGACCCCGAGCCCTGCCGGCCTCGGAAGGAGACCCAAGGACTGTCGAAGCAGCAGCAGCAGCAGCAGCTTGAAGGCAGCGCTCAGCACCCGGCGCTCGGCGCCACCTGCCTCGCCAGAAGACGCGAGGGACGTCTTCTGCAGCCATGTAAAAGACAGTGGCACTTGAGCCCCGAAGACAGCCAGGAGTCAAGGTCAATCCAGCGGCGGCTTTGGCGAGCGGGACGCCCTGGGCCGAAAGCAAGCGACCCCGCCGAGCTCGGGAGCTGCGGGCCCCGCAAGGGGCGAGCGGACCGGCGGGGGCGAGATGTCAAGAAAACACGTTCGAACAAGTCCACCGACCGATGATCCGAACACCTCGCATGCTGAGCGGGGCAGGAACGACGGGCCTTCGGCGCAGCGCTGGCCAGAAACGCGTCGCCTGTCGCTTCGAGACGGTCTGACGCCAAAGAAAGGTCGCGCCGTCTCGTTTTCGCGAGTTCCACAGGACGGAGGAACGTAGCAAAACCGAGCAGCAGTAGGGCGGCCGTGTCTGGCCAGTCCCAGACGAGGCGGAGGCCAACCGTTGCGCGCAGAAGGGCGCGCGGCAATGGTGGGCGAATATTGTGGGGGCTCTGCAATCTCCCACTGCTTAGCGACGCCCCGAGCTTCGGTGAGGAACGCCTTCCAGTGCAGGGGCGCGCTGACCGGATGCCCAGCAAGGCATGCGCGAGGATGTGGCGGGGGAAACCGGCGTCGTGCAGCCAGACTCCAAAGGTGGCAAACGCTCGCGAAAGGATGACGCCACTTCGGTTGAGCGCGGTCGGAGCCGCCCTGGCGTGCTCGACGACCCACAGCTCGAACGCGTCAACCGATCGTGATCTGCGATCGCGGCACTCGGGAGTCAAGTGAGAATCCCGAACGAAAGGCGCGCGCGAGGCGCAGGGAAGCGCGGCGCTAAGCCCGCGGCCAGGCGGCGCGGAGTGGGCTGCTGGGGCAGAGGGGCCCCCAGCGGCGACGTGCACGCACGGCCCGCGCGCGCGCCAGAGCAGCAGGGCGGGCGCGGGGCCCCTGCTGCCCCGATGGGCCACGTGGCCCGTCGGGAGAGCAGCCCGCCCGTCGCGCGACGCGAAGTACGACGGCGCGGATCACGGTCTCAGCGCGCGCCACTGCGAAGGAGTCGTCCGTCGCGTCCACGATGCCTCCTCGCGATCACCTCGACATCCGAGGGCGCGCAGAGAAGCGCGGCCTCGATGTCGGCACAGGGGAAGGGGGCAGGCGGACCAGCAGGGTGCGCCTCACGAGCGCGGGCGCGCAGCTTCGCCACCAGCTCGGCCACGCCCTGCCGCTGCGACATGCCCGACAACGACGTCGGGCGGGGCACGCTGCAGATGGCTCGATGCCCGTCGAGCAGCTCCGCAGGTGCCTCGTTGGACCACAGGCGTGGCAGGGGCAACTCGGCGTTCTCGGAGAGGTTCGCAGACAGGTCGCAAACTCAAGCCAGGCAGGCCGCGCGACGCCGCTGCACGGCATTGTTGCCAAAGCCGATGCCCCTGATCCGTCCGACCGCTTTCTCGTCGATCTGAGGCTGCCCAGTCAGCCCTGGGAACGCCGCGGCGTGCATGAGCAACGGCCACCCAGGCTCCGAGAGCGGCGCGACACCTCCATCGCCGAAGAGCCGCTGATAACTGCGCAGCACAGCGATCAGGCATCCGAGATCCTCGATCTCACGCGGCTCATCCGCGCCAGCGCGAGCGAAGCGCCGCAGCCGAGAGACAGCGTGCTGAAACAACTCTTCACGGCCCTCGGAGCACAGCACAACTGTCGCCGATTCGCCCGCCAGCTCCAGCCGCCAGCCAAGCGCCGCAGCCGCGGCAGCTGGAAGGGGGACCGGTTCTGGCGAGTCGTCACGGCTGGTGGGCGAAATCATCGGCAGGCGGGGCAGGGCGGAGACGCCCGCAGAGGATGCAGCCGACGGAGCCTTCGACTTTGGCACGAATGCGGCACGCCTGCGTCGCTTAGGCGCGGGCCCCGCGCGGCCAGCAGGTGGCGCGTCGGTGGGGTGAGCAGCGGCGGCGCGAACCCTCCCCTGCGGCGGCGCAACGCCCTCGCTGAGAGGGCGCATGCCAGCCGGCCCAGCGCTCGAGACGCCTCGTGCACAGCTGCGCGGGACACCTGCTGCATCGCCCTGCTCGGGGCCAGCGGGAGGCACGCCGATTGGCTGAGCAACGACGGCGCGAACCCTCCCCTGCGGCGGCGCAACGCTCTCGCTGGAAGGGCGCATGCCGGCCGCCCCAGCGCTCGATGCGCCTCTCGATAGGCTGCGAGGGACCAAACTGCCTAGCGCCACGAGCCTCGCCCCGAAGATGTTCCACCCGCGACGTGGAGGGATCCCGACTCCGGCTGGCGCCCGAGGAACGAGGATGCCTCCCGCGAGAAGGGGCCCCCGCAGACGCGTCCTGCCCGGACACCACAGACCGCCGGGCGGCTCGGACAATCCCGCGCAAGGCCTCGTCCGAGATCCGGCCTGCCAGGAAGTCGCGGACCTGGGCGGGGCCCTCGGAGTCGAAAACCGAATCGCAGGGGTCCGCGGAGCTTCCAGCGCGGGAGGCCTGGGGCGGCGCAGACTCGGCGCGCCTGCGCCGCGGGGGCGTCGTCGGGCGCCGCGCCCCGGCGGCTGGCGAGGCGTGCCGCGACCTACTGCGAGGAGGCGCGCTCGGACACCGCGCTCTGGCGGCTGGCGAGGCGCGCCGTGACCCGCCGCGAGGAGGCGTCGAAGGGCCCCCAGCTAGGGCGCCGGCGTCTACCGACGACCCTCTGCTTGAGTCGCGGCCGCAGGGTCGGGGAGAAGCCAAGCCCCCGCCCCCGCTCGGCGCTTGCTCGGCGGCGCGACTTCGGGGCCGCAGGGCAGCGCGCTCCGCCGCGGCGCAGCGGTTCGCAGTCCGCCCAGCGCGGCGCCCTGGCGGAGGCGCGCCTCCCCCCCTTAGGGGCGGGGAGAGCCGCGCGACTCGCCTGGCGCTTGGCGGCCGCGCGCTGCTGGCGGCGAGCTCCGCGTTGGCCGGCCCTGGCGCATGGCCTCCCAGATTCGGCCCCGGTCCTCGAAGGCCTCGTCGCGGGGGCCAAGCCGTCGGCGCAAGGCCCGCCGATCGCGGCGCGACATGGCGCTGGCAGGAACGTCGGGCGGGCGCGCGTTGGCGCGCGGATTTGCCTAGATTTCGGCCTCCAACTCAGCGAGAGATCGCCCTGCAGACGAGGCGGGAGCGTCGTCTCCAGCTGCGCGGGCGCGACGACCCAGGCCGGCGGGGCGCGCCGCCTCCGCGCTGCGGAGCACGGCCCGCCCCGCTCGGCGAGCGTCGCGGGCGAGCTGGACAGGGGCCGTCCGTCGCTCACCGCGCGCTTCCCGATTGGCAGGCTCCTGGAGTCGACGCGCGCACGAGCGATCCGCGATGGCGTCGGCCAAGGCACCCCTCGCCGCGGCACGCTGGGAAGCGTCGCGCACCTCGGGGCGCGGCATCCGAGCTGCGAGGCCCGCGCGCGCCTCGCGGAGCGCTTACAGCTCGAAGCGACCAGACTGCTCAACGGCGGCCAGCTCGGCGTCGGAGGGCGCGGCAGCTCGAGCACGCGCGAGCGACGAGGGGCCCGGCGCAGGCTGATGGCCAGTGGGGGCGCCCGAGGCGTCGTGCAGGTCTGAGCGCAGGGCGGAGGGCGGCGCGCTTAGCCAGCTCGGACACGACGCGCTCGGACGCGGTCACGTCCAGAGCGGCCAGCGCCAAGGAATGGCCGGCAGGCGCCTTGCCTTTCCGCGCCTCCTTGCCGCGGCCCTTAGCACGGGCGAGAACCTGGCCGGCTGCCCACTCGCTGTCGGAGCTCGGGCCCCCCGGGGCGGCGCGGCTGCTCTCGTAGTTGAGCAACAACGACTTGGCAACGCACAGGCGCTCGAAGCGCAGCCGCCGCTCCTCGGCGTCGGCGGCCGAGAGAGACGCCTCCGAGTGGTCAGGGCGGCAATCCCGCGCAGCGCGTCGGAGCGCCGCTCCGATGGCGCCGCGGTCCGCTCCGTCGGCAACGCGCAGGGCAGCTCGCGCATCGTTCAGCCTGGCAGCTCGGGCGAAGACGCGCTGACCACCGCCGCCCGCGGGTCCCAGGGAAACCGGCCAGCTGCCCGCCACGGCTGGAACGTCTCCAGCCATGCGCGAGCTCCCGCGCGTCGGACCAGACGCCGGTGGTGCTCGAGGCGAGACAGGCGCAGGGAGGGCCCCAAGATCGGCGCCGTCCCCCGCGACTCTCTCTCTCCGCAAGGCGAGAGGAGTCAATGGCGACCTTGGCGTTGGCGCGCGCGGCCCCGGCGGCGCTCGGGAACAGGGCGCCCCTTGCCCCGGGCGGCCGCGGGCCGCCGCGGGGCCGGGAAGCCCGGGTCGCTCGCGTCGTCACCGCCGGGGGCCTCAGAGGCTGGCTCCGCGGCGGCGCCGTCGGCGGCGGCCGCGCCCGCGCCCGATGGAGGGGGCGGCAGCCCGGCGGAGGCCCGCAGGGTCAAACCCACAGGCCGCAAGCAGGGCGACGAAGCGCGCCCAGAGGCAGGCGGGGCACGGGGGGGGAGCATCGGCCTGGGCCACGCAATCGAAGCGCTCAAACTCCCCCCGCTATGCCCCCTCGAGCCACTCGGGGGAGGCGCGAGAGGGGGGTCGGACCGTTCGAACTGCGGCAGCTGGGCGAGGGCGGGACCAGGGGGGGACACTCGGCTCAGAACTTGGAGCAGGTGCCGATCGCGGAGCCGAGCGCGCCAGCTCCCGCGCCCCGAACCTCCAGAAACTATGCGGACACATGACTGCTGATGTCCGCGCGGACCACTCCCCCGCGGCCGCCCGCGCCGGACATCGCGGGGCAAGGGGCCGCGCGCAGGTCGGCGACGGCCGCGCAAGCCAGGAAGGCGCAGGCTAGAAGCTCGTCCATGACGGACGGAGGCACTTCATGCTCAGTCTGGTCTTCAAGCGCAATCCGCGACAGGAGCGCGTAGACGTTCGCGAAGAGGGTGAGCATGGGAGGGCGGAACAGAAACACCTGCCACCAGGGCACGCGTCGAGAAACCAAAGTACACTTGGATCGAGGTCGGCCTGCAGAGGGCAGCCGCGCGGACGAGGGGGGCGCACGCGATCCCGATCTGCCCGTCGACCTCAACCCCCGCGACGACCTGGTGGGCCACGCCGCGGGCGCGTTTCCCCGGGTGCTGAATCGAGCCCACCCGCGGATGGCCACGGTCGCACGCCACGAAGACTTCCCGATCGCGGCGACCCGGGTCGTCGGCCCGCGGGGCCCGCGCCAAGAGAGCTTCCGGAAGCTCGCGCGGTTGTCGAAGTTCAGCATCTCGACGAAGTTGCCCCTAGGAAAAGACAGAGGCGCACCGCCTGCTCGCGGCGCCAGAGGGCGCCGAAGCTGGGGATGATCCCCTCGTGAGCCGCGCTAGCGATCTCAACGGCCATATTGTCTCCCATAGCATGAGCAGTGAGGCAGGGCGCAACAGCGACGCCTGCCAACTCGGGCCGCCAGGCTCGAAAGGACTTGAAAGAAGCCCCCGGGGAACCTGACCCGCAACGCGTTCCTGCAAGCGCGCTCGGGTGGGACATGGAAGGTGCAGTAAAACTCCCTCAAACCGTCAGAAGAGACGACCAGCCATTCCCCTGGGCTCAGTCCGAGTCGGCACGGCAGAGGCCCCTGGCCCAGTCGTGGCGCGCTCGAAGAGACAAAGTGACACCGGCTGATGACGACAGTCGGGATAAAACTCAAGCGATCGAACTCGCTGTCCTTGATGACACGGCAGGCCCCGAACGCCCCCTTCCCAACAGAGCTCGGCAGCCGGGGCGAGGTACAGGGCACCGCAGGCGTCTCATTTGTGGAGAAGAGCCCAGCGGTCAGAGCGGTCCATGTGGACGCGTGTCCCTTGCGGGCCCGCCCTCGACCGCCCCGTGACATCAGGATCCAGAAACGCCCAGCGCACGATCGGATCGGGCAGAAAGGGGGCGGGATCAAACGTATGAGAGTAGTCCCACTTGATGCGGGGCGCATTGACCTCGATGTCGAAGGACTCGACGTGGGTGGAGCCCCACGACGCCGCGGCGGCAAGAGACCCAGGCACAGGGGGCGCAGAGGAGGGGCACTGTCGCATAGGTGCCGGGACGGCCGAGGAGGAAGTGAAGGAGGCACCCGCAGCTGCAGCGTGGGTAGCCAGGCCATGGAGCGAGATCTCAGTTGTGTCGGACTTCGCGAAGGCTCGACCTAAGTCGTTCTTGCCGCCGCGGGCAAGGCGAACTGCAATCCGACGCAGCCGCTCGATGCGGCGGCGCACGCCCCTGGCAGGGAGAGACCGTCGCTCGCGCGCGAGCCTCGGTGGGGGCGATGCTCGGCTGGCCGAGGGTTAGCCAGTGTAGCGCAATCGCGGCGCGTTGCGCCAGCGCGCGAGCTTCGCGCCTCGGACGCCACCGCCCCCGCGCGCGGCCGACGAGAGAAGGCGGCGGCGGCAGGGCGGGCGGGACGGGTGGGCGCGGCCATGGATCGCGGGGGGGCGGCCCAGCAAGAGAACCGCCCCGATCCGACGGGCGCTGCGATGAGCGAGAGAGAGAAACCAGATGACACCGAGGGCGCATCCCGACCTGGGCCAAAGCAGCCGCCCAGTGGGCCACGTCGATGTTCGCGCCGGGAAGAAGGCGCAGCAAGGCAGACATATATGCAACAAAGGGGGCGGTCCGAGCGGCCGAAACCGAGGCGAGCGGGGGGGCGGGAGCAGAGCGCTGCTTCGCGGCGGGAGCGCGGGGGCTACCAGAACCCCCGAAAAGCAGGGCGCCCCCCCCGAAGCAGGGGCAGATGGGATGGCCTCCCAGCGCCCGCGGGGGCGTCGCCGAGGGCAGGCGGGCCCGGGATATCCGCGGATGCAACTGCGCCAGGAGCTGGCGAGCAGAGATCGCGCTGGCCGAACGAACCTTCCCCTGCGGC